GAATGTACATATGCGTGAATGTAATTAGGAACACCGTTACACGTGATGAATACTTTAACATCATACCCCGGAGCATGTACATTACAGTAAAGATAAAAAATGTAAAATTGAAATTTGTACGCTATTTTTGAGTCGCCACAGTTTGATGTGGGACCCACGCGACGTAGACAACGTGAGTTAAATACATTTGTTTTACACAATATTCGAACAAGAGGACTCTGTTACTTTACGTTACATATTTTATGTGTTACTAAGAGAATTTACGTCACATGTATTCCACTCATAAGGGAAATGGTGGAAATTACAACTGCTCATATATCATATTTTTGTCGGTAAAATAATGCATGTCATAAAATTGTGTATCCACTATATGTATATCCGTATTGTCGTTTTAATGACTAAAACAAGATATAACTCACTATAAAATTATGATGCAGTTCCTGTCAATGTTGTACTCCCTCGGTCCTGTGTATATCTAGCGCTAAGCCCTGTGTGGCCAACTCATAACGTATTATTACTTTTTAAATATATAACTTGTTATTTGTGTTTTAAAATACATGTTTCATGACATGTGATACTAAATTACTTGTGTATTATTTTGGGGAAGTAAATATATAATTATTATTAAACCATCAAACTCATGTATTACATCATATTTAAAATTTGTTACCGTTATCAATTTTTTTTTTTTGAGCATTCAAAATGAATTCTATTCAACTAGCTTTCAGCGTACCGCGGTTTGGGGGGGGGGGCAATATTCCATTATATAGTCAGGTGTAACTAATTATCCAGGCTTACGTTGATCGCGATACCCCCCCCCCCCGTTCAGTATACATTTTGTCATCCTCCTCTTGTATGTAATATGGCATATGGCAAATGAGAACGTGTCGCCCTTATTCTCCGAAAAAATGTACAACTAGTGTATGTTATTATGTTCTATCATAGCGTAGTAAGAACCAGTGGCGCTGACGTGAGTGTTTGAACTGATTCCGGCTTTACCACTAATTAAACTGATCCTTTTACGAGAATGCTGGCAACCAGGGACACTTGCAGAAGATAATTGGTTTCTACCTAAATTCATTCGACACAATTAATGACACAAAGCACTTTGAAGTTTTTTTTCTAATTATAACGAACACGAGCAAAGACACTTACAAAACCAGGTATTTTTATTTTAATATATGTGTCCGCATACTTGTACTATGTAATTTGTCAACACTGTGCAACTCATTATGGTGCGAATATACTTCGATACGGCCGTATTAAAAATATGCGCTATGTGGCGTGTCGTTATCATAAGAAATCTTTCTATCCAAAAAAAAAAAAAAAAAACATACTGGAACAAAAATGCAAAAAACATAACAGTTTACTAATTCATGATCGTTATTTAAAAAAAAAGAAAAAAAAAACATTTCGGATTTCATTATTATTTTTAATTGCCAATCCATATTATTGTAGGTAGCGTAATTTTGTAGATACGATCAATTAGTGTTGTATTTTGAAAGGAGTCTAACGATCGTTTTATGGGATGACATTTATTGGAATCCCATTAATACACAGTACAATGCATTAATAAAATCAGGATCATCAAAATTTCATCTTGGATAAAACGCACTTCGTGAATACTGTAATCTGTGATTGATTTTTGTTATTAGCGGTGTCTTAGCTCTCAAAGAAGTCAGGTGGCGTCACAGATTTTGCATCACGGCCAGGCTAGATATATATTTAGTGGTTATGGTGGTGATGAAGAGATTCAAGACTTATAGGGTAGTACTTTCCGAAATATATTAACAAACTATTGTCTGGCAAAATAATAAATATGATCATTTTATTTTATCGTGTTGTGTTGTATTGTGTCAACTGATATTAGTATGTTATAAATGGTGGCTGTCACGTGGTGATCAAAATGTGTTCACCTGACATCATCTCTTGACTGCATTCTCAAGAGCGAACATCCGGGCATTGTCGGCGCCTGGCAACACAAATCGGTGACATCAACGGTCGAAAACTCACTTTGGGATAGTTTTTGAGACCCTACTGGACTGGATATATCAATTCTGTTTTTCGGGATTGTTTCATAGTTGATTTTGTAATTTTTTCTCGTAGCTCCACGAACACCTCCGGGTTTATGTATCATTCTTTTACTGATTTCCCCACGTTTTTGTAATGTATTTTCTATGTACTCTGGCTTTCTTCCATTGCCCCAATGTGACTTCTGTTTAATGATCGACGGTTGGATATTTTAAAAGTAAGTTTATGTTATTTTTCATAATTTGTGTATGTCTAGATAGAACTATTAGCTTTCTTTAATATTGTTGATTTTGATTCAACATATGGTGATCTGAATAAATATGAAGCAAAGTAATGCACGTGCACCATCTACTGTGAGAATCGATAATTTGAACTCGTGACATCTGAAGACAAAATCAATATTACTGAAAATATATTGATGTACTTGGCTTATACCAAACGATGTAATTGGTTTGGTTGTTATAAGATGTCATCTCATTATAGCTACAGATAAACATCAAAGTGTAATGTCAAAGTCGTGAGATAAGCTAATGGCAATGGATACAAGTACTAATGTCACAATTAATAGCGTCTATCACTAAGGTCCTTGTGAGATGCCACTGATATACTCTGTTGTACAACTGTACGCCGAGATAATGGGTCATTATCAATATATATGCAATGAAAGGTTTTACTGGGAAACGTTAATGGGTCCACATTCCTGTTCCTATTAAATACTTGTATAGTATCGTATTTGGGCGTGTTCGTGGCCTGTATGTGAATTATATCACCGGGGGATACTGAGTGTAATTTGGTGCAGTGTAGTGCAGTGTACTTAAAGCACGGTGGTCGTCGCGCAGCACGTGTTCGAATTTCATGTCAATAAATGTATTTTACACGCGTTGTACACGTCGCTATGAGTCTCATATCGAACAGGACGCGGCGCGACGACTGTCACCCTTTAAAACAATCTTTGAAAGCTGCTAGGACTGATAATATTGAATTATCTTAAATAATACACTAGTTCTTTTCTTATGTTAATTATTGTAATACTGTGTGGTGTCAGTGTAGTAGGAATAATATTTCACATTTACATAAATCCATCGTGTAGTGAAGGGCAATGCTAATATAATTTATCTGGTTTGTAATAAAGGACCTGTCCCATGAATAAATGTAACATAACACAATCAGTCGTAGTTACCGCTGCGCAGAACGCTATTATAGGTGAGGTGTAATAACCGAACGTGTTGTATACCGTACATTTATGTTTAAGATGATTTAAATCCTGCAATTGTATGTCACATTAAGAGAACCCCATCAAGAAAGCACTTTCCAAACAATATTGCTTCAGCGTGATAATATCTTGTTTTAAGTTGTTTTCTTTTCTAGAATTAAGAACGACGGATATAGCGAGTTCAAATATGATGACAAATAGACATAGAAAACATTGGTATCGTCTCTAGAATATAAAATGTAATCTTTATTGCGTAGATTGCATTTGGAGTGTGTCAAGCACTCAATGACATTATGTAGTGCTCTTGTGGTTATAACATACTTACGAGTCCCAGAATACACTCAAATTAAACAAACGAAATGAAAGGTATGTGCGATCCAAAATTCCCTAAACAAAACTTGGGTCCATTAAATCACGAAAATCCCACAGGCAACAGTGAATAACACGAAAAGCAAAGTTATTAGATGAATTGGTTTGTGTAATTTCTAAACTTAAATAGTTTATCATCACAGGAGTTGACTGGTGCTGACATTAATGGAACAGTTGGACAGCTGGGTATTCAATCTAAATATGTCAGTCCGCCGTTTTAAAACCAGAAAACTTCACCCACAAAACTAATGCTTGGTTATTCATGTGTATCACAAAACGGTTTGAAATACAAACCGTCGTTTGCAAAATAGTTTCTACGAGTACATCAAATGAAATTATGTTAATTGGATGAAAATAAATTAAAAGTGTTTTGCGTCCATTTTTGAGGTCTAAATGTTTTGAGTTTGGACAGTGCAGAGAAAACTGATAGCAGAAGAAAACAGGAGATGCTGTGTTTTTAGAGCTACGGGCGTTATCTCTGTGGATATATATACGTTAATGATATCTAGAAAAGGAAGTGATTTCCAGTAGATATGAAATGTCATCTATTCTCAATTATAATTTGAAAAGTGCCTTTAGAAGGTATATTGTGATTGATATAAGCTATTACAGAACAAAATGTATGCTTTATCGTGGGACAGCAGGTTGATCAAAATTTAATCAATCTGCCGTTCATAGTCATGGGTGACTTACTAAAAAAGTCACGCATATGTTCGAGACATGTGTATAAAACACATTCCAATGGTAATTTACATTTTAATAAGATAAACTAAGTGCAGAATTCACCTTAAAGTTTGTAAATTACCAATATCAAAATTCTATATGTTATATACTGCACAACAACCATATGGGTAAATTGTTATAACACATATGAACACATCAATGGACTAGTGTCAGAACACCGGGACTCTTCATGTGTCCGACTAGTGCATGTAGACCAAAGCAACGTTTACAATAATGTTATTTTGCCTGCTAATTCTTAATGAGATGAATATATAGTTAACAAGAAAAGGTACAAACTAGAATGAACAAAAAAGTTGGATTTAGCAGAAGCCATTTATCAGCGAAAATAGCGAACTTGAATGCCAGTGAATAATTGGTGATCTTACAATGGCTAGAATTAACTTGTGGGTGGGAAGTCCCATTCAGAAATCGTCCAGCAGGTACACCACAATATATTGGACATGTGTATGAAGAAATTCGTGCATTTTCAAATGATAGCTGTACATCACGGCGTTTCTCCACCGGCCAATAAACGTGACCTGTCGCTTATATATGCATCGCGCGTCTATTGTTCTAACCAATCACAGAATGCGTTCAAATATATGACTGTGTGTCAAAAGGTACACACATGCATATAAATATATATATACTATATATAACTCACCATAGACCTTTACATCAATATCTTTACTTTCCACGGCGCCGGTTTTCTTCACTCTAGCACGGCATGTATATGTGCCAGCGTCATGGAGGGCCACGTCATTAACAACCAAGCCACCGTCAACAATTGAATAATCTTCATCTGAATATAAACAAGAAATGAATTATTGTATATTTCTGTATTTCCGAAAGAAAATGACAGTACCAGGTACGTTTGTTGGGCGACCCAAGACCCTTGGGGCTAAATAAATGTATGCTATAGACATTATGAGCAGTCAATATGTGATTACTTGTGTTTGCCATATATGGTAATATTCATATTGTTAAGTACGGTGATATGCGATTGCCATATGCATTTGTATAATGGCATAACATGTGGGTGTAAGGATTTATGATATATCACCCTGTATGGTAATATATACAATAATTTATGGTACATGTATGTGATTGCCGTATAAGGTGATATAAGATTACCGTATATGGTCATATACAAAGTGCCTTTTACCATATTTAAAAAATTAAGATTACCATCTATGGTAATAAGTGATTGCCGTATATGGCAATATGAGGTTATGTGTGATTGTCGTGTATGGTGATATGAGCTTACCATATATGGTGAGATGTGATTTTCATATAATGTGATATGCAGATTATACTCACTGTCATTTATATGCGTAATGTGGTTGAATTTCCAGTGTATCGTTGGAGTTGGATTCCCCGTCACTTCACATGATATGAAGCCTTCCTGTCCCCTCGTTAGGAATTGTGGTGAAGGTACTTCCACAAACTCAATTGGCTCTGAAGAAAGTTAAAAGATAAACAAAAAATGTGTATTTCTCGTGAACATTGTATCAGCAATATTCCCGACCGCAGAGTGATGTGACACTTTTCCACTTCAAATCTATGAGATTTCACACTCCGAGGACAGCGTTGTGAAGCTCGTACGTGAAATACGAATGGTTATCCACTTTAAACTCTGGCACTGTTATGAATTCCAATTTTCGAATAGATACAAATATTTGTTTACACTGTTTGGGAAAGATGTGGTCTGAACAGAGAATTGACATGATTACATAGCGGTATCAGGTCTCATTACTTTTACAGACATCAATGTATGAGTTTCCGTTGATTTGGGCCTGCATTACCGTGTTAGGCATCTTAACGATACAGTTCGAAACATGTATATATAACGCTTACTGTCATGTCGAATAAAAATCAGCCTTGCGGAAAATTCACACAGATGAAAATATTATTCAAATACATGTATATAAATTCTCAGCACATATGTCACGCAGACCTTCAATTTGTGTAACAAATCCCAACGGAACCATACGCACACTTCAGAAGTACAAATATGCTAAGTTATTTAGATGGAATGACACGAACAGAGACGAAAACACTAGGTTGCTGATTTGGGATGACACGAACAGAGACGGAGGCACTAGGTTGCTGATTTGGGATGACACGAACAGAGACGGAGGCACTAGGTTGCTGATTTGGGATGACACGAACAGAGACGGGGGCACTATGTTGCTGATTTGAGGATGACACGAACAGAGACGGAGGCACTAGGTTGCTGATTTGGGATGACACGAACAGAGACGGAGGCACTAGGTTGCTGATTTGGGATGACACGAACAGAGACGGGGGCACTATGTTGCTGATTTGGGATGACACGAACAGAGACGGAGGCACTAGGTTGCTGATTTGGGATGACACGAACAGAGACGGAGGCACTAGGTTGCTGACTTGGGATGACACGAACAGAGACGGAGGCACTAGGTTGCTGATTTGGGATGACACGAACAGAGACGGAGGCACTAGGTTGCTGATTTGGGATGACACGAACAGAGACGGAGGCACTAGGTTGCTAATTTGGGATGACACGAACAGAGACGGAGGCACTAGGTTGCTGATTTGGGATGACACGAACAGAGACGGGGGCACTATGTTGCTGATTTGGGATGACACGAACAGAGACGGAGGCACGAGGTTGCTGATTTGGGATGACACGAACAGAGACGGGCACGAGGTTGCTGACTTGGGATGACACGGACAGAGACGAAAGCACTAGGTTGCTGATTTGGGATGACAAGAAAAGAGACGGTCACGAGGTTGCTGATTTAGGATGACAGGGACAGAAACGTGGGCACTGGGTTGCTGACTTGGGATGACACGGACATAAACGTGGGCACTGGGTTGCTGACTTGGGATGACACGGACAGACACGGAGGCATTATAGACACAGTTGATATTTTAGTATACTACATTATAGGCCCAGTTGATATTTTAGTATACTCCATTATAGACCCAGGTGTTATTTTAGTATACTCCATTATAG